AAGACTTTCACGTCGGTATGACGCCCTTCAATCCGGCGGCGACAGCGTCAACCAGACGCGAGCATCAGAGGGCATACGATAGTGAGGTCCAAGAGACCCAGCGCTCGGTAATCACTCAGACCTGTGGTCTCGCCCACGAGCAAAGGCACAAACAGGTCTCTCACCCCACCTGGTTGCGCCCAGAGCCCCTCGGGGGCAGTGGACTTGAGCCACGGCGGTTCGGCGGCGCGCCATCTGACGATATCGAGAGCCCCCCGCTGCGCAGGTACCTCCAACGCCAGGGCAGTCTTCGCCTGAGGCCGGCCCGTGCTGTCGACAGACCCCTACTGCCCAATATGAGTTACGCGGAAAGATTTATTCATCCCTCCGGGCCATCATTATTTATTGATTGAGGTGACAGTTAGCTTCAGAGGGCGAAAGTGGTGTCCTTGGAACGCCGCTATATATTGTTTTTCAATACACTTCCTCTTTGCTCCTAAGCTTTGTATATGGAAAATTAAATTCTGCACATTTCTTCAATCAGTTTTTTGGACTCCATTGCATTCAGCCGCAGTCAAGGATCCTCGTCTGGTCCATACGAAACGAGCTGTGCAAGTGTGTTTGGTCTGCAAGCTTGATCAGAGTTTTGCAAATACTATTTTTGTCCACGGATGAATAATAGGCCTACATTTCAAGCCGCTGAATGTCTTCATTAATTTTGTAATTTCTGCATTTCTTAGGCCAGAAAGACTTCCTTCAGTCTAACTATACGGTGCAACGTCAAATAACGGTTGTGGAATTATAAAATATAAATTGATTACTCACAGACTCTAGACAGGAGACAGATAATTCCGAGCAGGAGACAGCGATCCCCGGGAAAATTTGTTTGTCGTCGGATACTTTGTGGTAATTAACCTGCTGTCCATTTCTGAAGGTACAGCGTATCAAATGTTTTTAAAATATTATTCCTACGACAACCCGAATGGGTGATCCTCCTTGTTGTGATATTCCCCCTGTTGCTACTCCAGAAGTCTGCGCGAATTAGCGACCGCTAGACTTGCCTGTTGGCGGTAATGATCAGCCTGAAGGCACCACTAATGTCAGACTGGACTGCAACTACAGTAGCTGCAGCAGAACCCGAGGAACTGAATATCAACATGAGCCAACTGATGACAGAACAGGAAATCGGAATTCCCGGGTCGTTCTTTACATTGCAATGGCAGGGTATCCTTTCGATCGCGGTGGCGCGTAAACTGTCTCCCACTCCATCATGCAAACCAAACGGTTAGTCGTTGGGAGGTTAGTTCGCGAGCAAAAAACTGATAAATCCGCCTGCAGGACTCCTTCCAACTGACTAGGTTTCTTTTACAATTACTATAAGTCAAACAAGTCGGTCTCAGCCACTACGACATCCCACATCAGCCGGGAAGCAAAAATATTCTGGTAGCTAGTCATTGCACTGCTAGCATATAGTAATGCCCGGCTGTTGCTGTTAAGAGCCACGGTGGAATATAGATGAAATACTATAGGCGATAAACATGCTCGTCACAGTCATGAGGTGGGAAAATAAAAAAAGATTTTGTCTATATTCCTGGGCGTTTAGGCAGATGTCCTAACTAAGCTTAAGCTGAGTCTACCAATTTAGGTTTACTGAGAGCCGATCGGGACATTTTACATGGAAATGAATGGTTACAGTTAGGTGCGTGACTATATAGCTTAAGAGAGCAGGCGGCTCACCGTCTGTTCAGTCAAATTTGGCCCTATTTGCAGACTTAAATGGTTATGGAATAGCCTTTTACTCCACAGAGCAATCAAACTCAGTAACTGTGCACCTCGTACGATTGTTTTGGTTGTCATTAAAGCTGCTGGCGATAAGCTAAGGAAATTTCCAAATTGGGGAAGCTGGTGACTCGAGCAAAAAATATTAATTGCCTCAGATTGTATAAATCCAATCTTCCGCATTGGATGAAGCTAGAGTATTGCGGAAACGGGAGTGAAACCG